CTTATTATGATTCTGGTATTTAAATTTGTTGAAAATGCCATTATTCCTGTTTAACTTGTAATGCTTGTGGCGCTTAATTTTATAATTCTTGTTAAAAAATGATAAAAATCTTTTAGAGTATTAAATGCAGGAGTTTGTTAATTTATAAATGAATATTATAATGATGAAGTTAATTATCATTGTAAAAAAAATTTAACTTAATGATAGGTATATTAAATTAATGCAGATTATTGTACATCTTGTACAAAAACTATTAGACATTTAGATGGAAATAATTATAAATGTGATGTAGGTTATTTTCATAATAATTTGAAGAATTGCATACAATGTGAGAAAAATTGTGTTAATTGTATAACTAATTCAAAGTAATTTACTGAACGTGAATAAAATTCAAACAGAATTTTACATAATACTACTCGTCCTTTCATATGTAAAATCGGAACAACTGAAATAAATTTGGTATGCTAAATTTATGATATCAATGGCTTGACTTTCAATTTCTTATTGAACATCTTGCAAAACTTTAAAATTATTTATAAATAATAGATGCTAATGTATTGATGGAACTTATGAATTGAATAATAAATGTTTACTTTGTAATTCATCTTGCTCTACATGTATAAATTAAGAAAATTATTATTGTACATCATTTTAAACTGATAAATATAGAATGGAAATATTTGTATTTGTTAATTGGATATTATGAATAAATTAGTACCTTAAGTTGTTAAAAATATGATTTGTTTTATTTAACTTGTCAGAATTCAGCTACATATTATCTTTCTTGTGATATGTCTTATAATCTAAGTTTAATGATATTATATAGATGCATTTGTACTACAGATTTTTGCTTTAACACATGTTCCAAATAATATGAAGGTATTTCTAAATTATAACTATTAATTTAACGTGTTTTATATATTGTAAAGAATTTTAAGCATTTCCTTAATGTATAGAATATGAAGACTTAACAAGATAATATAAATAAGATAATATGAATAGTCTTTATAAAGATGGATATCATAAAAGTAATCTCAAGAAATGTTCATGTATAAATATAAATAAAATCTTTTAGAATATGATTTAATTTGTAGGACATGTATTAATTAATCAGAACATTGTTTAACATGTGAATCAACAAATTATAGAATAAAGAATAATTCAAATCAATGCCTAAATTAAGACGGATATTATGATATTGGAATTGAAATGTGCTAAAAATGCAATTAAATATGTAAAACTTGTAAAGTGAATTCAAGTAAATGTTTTTCATGTTATGAAATATAAAATTATAGATAATTAAATCTTAATTAATGTATTTGTTAGAAAGATTCTTATGATAATGGTTAATTAATTTGTGAAAATAAACAATAAAATTATTATTACTATAGAATGTTCTAATTAATGTCTTACATGTTAATTAAAAAGTGATTATTGAACAAGTTGTGATATAAATGAAAATAGAATAGATTAATCTGCAATAAAAAGATGTTCTCGTTTATCTGGTTTTTATTAAAATGAAAATGAAAATTATTCAAGTATGATAAATAGAATGTCATTTCAAATTTTATACTTGTTCTATATAAAGAGATAATTGTATAACTTATTCTATTTCTAAAACATCAAATAGATAATCAATATCTAATAATTGTATTTGTAAAGATGGTTATTCTGTAAGTTGATTGTTAAAAATGTAGTAAGCGTTGTAAATAATGTTATAATAAATCAAATAATAGTTTAAGTTGTTTTAGTAATCTTAGAAATACACCTCCTATATTTAATTGCCAATCTAGATTCTTTGAAAACTCTATATAAAATTGTGAGCCTATATCATTATTTATTAAATATTTAGCCTGTGAAAATTAATGCGAAACCTGTTAAAAATCTGGTTCTAATTGTTTAACTTGTAAATAAGGTAAACATACTTAATTATATGTATGTTAAGATGGATATTATGAAGGTGGATATCCTTATTGTATTTGTATTAATTTATTTAATTATTAATAGAATTTGAATATTAATGTATAAATTCTCCTCCAAACTGTTTAAATTGTAAAGGTGATCGTATAAAATTACCTTAATGTGTATGTCCAGATGGATTCTATAATGATTTTAGCTGAAGTCAAGATATAACATGTGATTAAACAACTATTTCTCATTCTCACAATCCATGGTGTCCAAGTAAATAAATTCTATATATGATTATAGCTTGTGAATTTGCTGTTGTATAAGCGAGATTCTCTGATGATTTGCTTTCCATCTTTATTAAATCTTATTTCCTATTAAATCCTAAATACTTTTAATCTTAATTCGAACATAATATTTGTTTTTAAATATTAGATGAAATTACATTTAATTTGCTTGGTTCTAATTCCTTTTGTTATATTTATCCTCATGATAATACATACTAATTTATACTTATGAATCTATACTAAATTAATTATTAATCTTGCAGAATAACCTTAAATTGTATCCGGAGAATTATTAAACTTTTATTCAAATTAATTTGGACATTTAAATTTTGAAAATAAAATAAATTTATTCATACTTAATTAAGTACTAAATCTTATTAATCATATCTATCCAATATTATCTTATGATTTACCAAAATATATATTAAATCCTTGTGATGAAAATACTAAACCATTAATATCTAAAATAAACAATGAACTTTAGAAATTTAATTGGAATTATAAATGGTAACCTTGAAGCATTTTTTAATTATAAACAAGATTATAATTATTAGAAAAATCTATTGCATTTTAAACACTCCTCAAATAATCTAGTATTACATTCTATCTTCAATTTCAAAATTTTGTATCATAACTATTCAAACTCATTCAGGTAAATTTTCTACTATATTTTTGATTTAAAAAAAACTTTATTTTACTTTTGAAACAATTTCTCTAAATTTCTTTCATTAGAAAAAGGGATTGCTCAGATGTATCTATATTAATTGATAATTCAAAATATGAAATATCCTTAATTGAAATATTTAGAAATGATTTTAATTCTAGACCATCAAGAGTTAATTATTCAGAATTTATTAGTCAACATCTATTAAATTTTATTATTTCTAAATATACCTTAAGTTCAAGAAGCGCATATACCTTTTCATAAACTACATCTGATTCATGAATGAACTTTTCAGTTACAAGAAATATCATACTTTCAATTAAATCAGCAAATATAGATATACAAACCTCTCTAATTAAACTGCATTCTTTGTTTATTTAATGGAACTAAATAAATTTAAAACTATAGAAAACATAATTATATATACATCTTTTGTAAAGATTTAGACACTTAATATGAGTGGAATGAAGATTAAGTTATATCAATTTAAGTTTAATGTTTAAATTAAACAATAAATTCTATTTGTAAAGATCAAAATAAAAAAATAATCAAAGTAAATAAACTGAAATTATTTAATACATTCAAAAATGTAAGTGTGCTTATTAATTTTTATAATTTAAAATAAATTACTTTTTAATTCGTAATTTCGAATTTGTTATTACTTTCAAGATTTTAGAAAGGAAAATGAATTCATTTAAAATTTATGGCTTAATTTACAAATGAAATCATTCCTAGTCGATTTAAAATTAAAAGTAAATTACCTCCTTCTTGCATTATTAGCTGAGTAAACAATTGAAACTTTGAATCAATTAAAAGTAATTACAAAATCTGATTATTCTTATGCAGCTCCATTTAACTACTAATTAAGATATTTTATTTAAAATTAAGATTTGATATATTTTAAAAATAAGGTTTCTGGTTACTCATTAATCTTAAACAGTTATTAGACCTAATTTTCTTTATCTGAAGGTATTCTTATAACACCAGACTATGGATTCTTATGGATCAATTTTAGAGATTGAAAAACGATTAAATATAACAAAGACAATTTTTTATTGTTCAAAAATTAACATTAATAAATTAGCCTAGACATTTTAAATTTCATTACTTTTTGAAATTTTCTTAAATAAATAAGAACAAGAATAATGTAATGTTTTATCTAAATAATTTTACAATAACATAAAAATTATTATTGTTTTATTGAAAATATATTTTTTTCAAACAATAAAATTAAAAATACGATTGGATTTTAATAAATTAGGTCAATTTAATCCCCAAATTAGATAATGTTAAGTTAATTTGGTTTCCTAACCATTAGCAATATAATAATTAGATTCAAAGGAAAATGCTGCTGTATAATATAAACCTAAATTTCCAGTTTTAATAGAAAATAAAACTAATGACATAAGCTAATTTTTCCATTCATAAAAATAAATTCTAATCATCAGTTGTGATTGCGAGAAAATGGCTTTTATTTAAGGATAAAGATTTAAAATATGATTTATTAATTATAATTACTTGTTCCTTATAACTAAATTAAAAAATTTCTGAGTCAATAAATGTCGGGAATCTCTTAAATTAATTTTCATCCCATAACTATTTTTTATTATAAATAGCTAATTATATATTGAAATATTCTCCTTGGGTTGGGTAAATATAAAAATCTTATTTTTTGTAATGTTATTTGCTGCATGTGCAAAAACTTTAAATAAATACATTTTTATTTAATTTATTTCTAAGAAGGTATAATAACTAACATTTATAACACTTTGTTAAGATGCTTTTAAATATCACTTAGTACAATAATATGGTTAGCAGTTAATAGGTTAATAGGGAAGACATAAATTGAAACGAGTGGATTAAGTAAGAATTAAATGTAAAGTTTAACAATCCATAAATAACAAAAAGTATCAAGTCTAATTAAATTTAAATAAGATCAAACATTTTGGTTAAAATAAAACTTTTAACTTTATAGAAGGTTAAATGTATAGTTAAATATTTTTTATACGGATTAATTATGAATCAATCAAGAATATTATTTTTTTTGCAATATTTTTTAAATCTTTATTTTGCAAGTTTAGAATATTTAAAATCTTTTTAAAATTACAAATATAATTAGAATTTAATATTTAATAAACATTGTTCATAATGTATGTTGATAATTTTTGACACTTGAAAAGATCCAATTTTTTTTAACTAAATTCAATCAAAACAGAAATCTATAAATAATCTCAAGAAAGTTAATTTATTTTTTGAAAATTAGTTTTATTTCTTAAGTTATTAATTAAGTATGAAATAGTTAAATAAAATTCAAAATAATAATAAAAATTTACCTTTAATTTCATAATTTTTTTATATAAACTTAATCAGAAAAAATATTAAATTATTTTTAAGTGTTGTTATTTTGATATTTTGCATAGATTGTTTAAATTTACCATAAAATCTTATGACTTGATTTTACCGATCAGCCAATTCTTATTTATTTTAAAGTTATTAGAATTTTTAGAAATTCAGTTCGAATAATAATTTATATGCTCTATAATAATTTTTCAATCATCCTTAATTCTTATAGAATTACATTCTAGATAGTATTAATTTTTAAAGTAAAAACATTTTTCAATATTAGTGTGGGTAAATAAATATTTTTTACATTTATTAAAATCATGAGTATTCCTATTTTTGATATAGATGAACAGAAATTTGAGTTAATCAACTTAATTAATTAAATACAAGAATAATTTAATATAGAATGGCTTCACTTGAATTTCAAATATATTGCAGAGTATCAACAATAAAATTAAGAATACTAATAAATTATAAAGGATGTTTTCATAATTTTTTTCTGTACTTTTGATGAAGATTAAAATGACTTAATGGAGGATGAGTATCTTGAGAAAAATAAAATTAAATAAATTAGCGATAAATTGTAATAGTAGGATTTAAAGGATTATTTGCTATTTTAGTTTGAAATATTAAAAAAACAAATTAACAAATATTTTTTTTAAATATATTCAGATCCTCAATTTAACATTTAGATAAAAGAAAAATACAAAATATTACTGATAGAGGGAACAAAAGATTTCTTATTTCTTATTTTCATACAAACTGCAATAATAACGAATAACAAGTTTTAAAGATGCAGATTAATTATCATTACATATAATTAAAAAGATTTTTCTATTTTTAATAGATTTGAAATAGATATTAATTATAAAATTTATACAGCAAAAATTATATGCAATCACTAATTAAATTAAATAGCATTATATACTAATGAAATACTTTGTTTATATGATGTCAATAATTAAGTTCTCGTTTAGTATGTTTTAAATTAATCATAAAATGTTTTAATTTTTTATCATGAAACTATATTGTAAATAGAGAATTCAATATATTTGAATAAATTGATTTATCAGAACTAAGTATTCACATCTAATAGAATAAGTTTAATTAACTCATATAAAAAGCCATATTAACTTCTATTATACTATGATTACTTAATAATATATTTTGAAAAAATTGTAAGTATCATTTATTGTAAAAATGGAAAATCATTGTAAATTAAACGGAATCTTACAAACTTACCTGATAATTCTGAAAAAGAAAGCTGTATTAGTAATAACAGTAAATTAATATACTAATTAGTGCATAAGGATAAATTCCATTCTTTTATATATTAATTTTCTTTGCTAAATGGGAAAATCATAAGAAAAATAAGAAATTTAGAAACATCTTAATCTACTCATATTTACTTAATAAAATTTGATAAATTATTGGTATCTATTTCATAAGATTATATTGAAGTTTATAGTTCAATTTTAGCAAAGTAACTTTTGTATCTTCATATAAAAAATCAAATGAGATCATCTGAATCATTGTTAAAGATTATTAACAGTAAGTTCTTAGTAAATTTTGATTATAATAAATTATCAATTTGGAAATAAAACTTAAATGATATGAATTTCCTAATCAATAAAC